TGAGGCTCGCGGTGGCTATCGTTATGTTCTCACCCTCACTGATGATTTGAGTAGATATGGGTATGTCTACTTAATGAAACACAAGTCTGAAACTTTTGAAAAGTTCAAAGAATTTCAGAGTGAGGTTGAGAATCAACGTGACAGGAAAATCAAGTTTTTGCGATCAGATCGTGGAGGAGAATACTTGAGTCACGAATTTGGCACACACTTAAGAAAATATGGAATAGTTTCACAACTCACGCCGCCTGGAACACCTCAGCGTAATGGTGTGTCCGAACGTCGTAATCACACTCTATTAGATATGGTGCGATCTATGATGTCTCTTACCGATTAACCGCTTTCTTTTTGGGGCTATGCTTTAGAGACTGCCGCATTTACTTTAAATAGGGCTCCATCGAAATCCGTTGAGACGACACCGTATGAATTATGGTTTGGGAAGAAACCTAAGCTGTCGTTTCTAAAAGTTTGGGGATGCGATGCTTATGTCAAGAAACTTCAACCTGAAAAGCTCGAACCCAAGTCGGAGAAATGCGTCTTCATAGGATACCCTAAAGAAACTATTGGGTATACCTTCTACCTCAGATCCGAAGGCAAGATCTTTGTTGCCAAGAATGGATCCTTTCTAGAGAAGGAGTTTCTCTCGAAAGAAGTAAGTGGGAGGAAAGTAGAACTTGATGAAGTATTACCTCTTGAACCGGAAAATGGCGCAACTCAAGAAAATATTCCTGAGGTGCCTGCACCGACTAGAGAGGAAGTTAATGATGATGATCAAGATACTTTTGATCAAGCTCCTACTGAAATTCGAAGGTCCACAAGGATACGTTCCGCACCAGAATGGTACGGCAACCCTGTCTTGGAAATCATGTTGTTAGACAACGGTGAACCTTCGAACTATGAAGAAGCGATGGCGGGCCCGGATTCCGACACATGGCTAGAAGCCATGAAATCCGAGATAGGATCCATGTATGAAAACGAAGTATGGACTTTGACTGACTTGCCCGTTGAGCGGCGAGCCATAGAAAATAAATGGATCTTTAAGAAGAAGACAGACGCGGATGGTAATGTGACCATCTATAAAGCTCGCCTTGTCGCTAAGGGTTATCGACAAGTTCAAGGGGTTGACTATGATGAGACTTTCTCACCGGTAGCGAAGCTGAAGTCCGTCTGAATCATGTTAGCAATTGCCGCATTTTATGATTATGAAATATGGCAGATGGACGTCAAAACGGCATTCCTTAATGGTTTCCTTAAGGAAGAATTGTACATGATGCAGCCGGAAGGTTTTGTCGATCCTAAGAATGCTGACAAGGTGTGCAAGCTCCAACGCTCGATTTATGGGCTGGTGCAAGCATCTTGGAGTTGGAACATTCGCTTTGATGAGATGATCAAAGCGTTTGGGTTTACACAGACTTATGGAGAAGCCTGTGTTTACAAAAAAGTGAGTGGGAGCTCTGTAGCATTTCTCATATTATATGTAGATGACATACTTTTGATGGGAAATGATATATAACTCTTGGACAACATTAAGGCCTACTTGAATAAGAGTTTTTCAATGAAGGACCTTGGAGAAGCTGCATATATATTAGGCATCAAGATCTATAGAGATAGATCAAGACGCCTCATAGGTCTTTCACAAAGCACATACCTTGATAATTTGAAGAAGTTCAATATGGATCAGTCTAAGAAGGGGTTCTTGCCTGTGTTGCAAGGTGTGAAATTGAGCTCAGCTCAATGTCCGACCACGGCAGAAGATATAGAAGAGATGAGTGTCATCCCCTATGCCTCAGCCATAGGTTCTATTATGTATGCCATGCTGTGTACCAGACCTGATGTAAACCTTGCCGTAAGTTTGGTAGGAAGGTACCAAAGTAATCCCGGCAAGGAACACTGGACTGCGGTCAAGAATATCCTGAAGTACCTGAAAAGGACTAAGGAAATGTTTCTCGTTTATGGAGGTGACGAAGAGCTCGTCGTAAAGGGTTACGTCGACGCTAGCTTCGACACAGATCTGGATGACCCTAAGTCACAAACTGGATACGTGTATATTTTGAATGGTGGGGCAGTAAGCTGGTGCAGTTGCAAGCAGAGCGTCGTGGCGGGATCTACATGTGAAGCGGAGTACATGGCAACCTCGGAGGCAGCACATGAAGCAATTTGGGTGAAGGAGTTCATCACCGACCTAGGAGTCATACCCAATGCGTCGGGGCCGATCAAGCTCTTCTGTGACAACACTGGAGCTATTGCTCTTGCCAAGGAGCCCAGGTTTCACAAGAAGACAAGGCACATCAAGCGTCGTTTCAACTTCATTCGTGAAAATGTTCAAGATGGAGACATAGAGATTTGTAGAGTACATACGGACCTGAATGTAGCAGATCCGTTGACTAAACCTCCCCCTAGAGCAAAACATGATCAACACCAGAATTCCATGGGTGTTCGATTCATCACAATGTAACTAGATTATTGACTCTAGTGCAAGTGGGAGACTGTTGGAAATATGCCCTAGAGGCAATAATAAAAGCATTATTATTATATTTCCTTGTTCATGATAATTGTCTTTATTCATGCTATAATTGTGTTATCCGGAAATCGTGATACATGTGTGAATAATAGACACCAACATGTCCCTAGTAAGCCTCTAGTTGACTAGCTCGTTGATCAACAGATAGTCATGGTTTCCTGACTATGGACATTGGATGTCATTGATAACGAGATCACATCATTAGGAGAATGATGTGATGGACAAGACCCAATCCTAAACATAGCACAAGATCGTATAGTTCGTTTGCTAGAGTTTTACAATGTCAAGTATCTTTTCCATAGACCATGAGATCGTGTAACTCCCGGATACCGTAGGAGTGCTTTGGGTGTGCCAAACGTCACAACGTAACTGGGTGACTATAAAGGTATACTATGGGTATCTCCGAAAGTGTCTGTTGGGTTGACACGGATCAAGACTGGGATTTGTCACTCCATATGACGGAGAGGTATCACTGGGCCCACTCGGCAATGCATCATCATAATGAGCTCAAAGTGACCAAGTGTCTGGTCACGGGATCATGCATTACGGCACGAGTAAAGTGACTTGCCGGTAATGAGATTGAACGAGGTATTGGGATACCGACGATCGAATCTCGGGCAAGTAACATACCGATTGACAAAGGGAATTGTATACGGGGTTGCTTGAATCCTCGACATCGTGGTTCATCTGATGAGATCATCGAGGAGCATGTGGAATCCTACATGGGTATCCAGATCCCGCTGTTGGTTATTGACTGGAGAGCGATCTCGGTCATGTCTACATGTCTCCCGAACCCGTAGGGTCTACACACTTAAGGTTCGGTGACGCTAGGGTTGCAGGGATATGTATATGCAGTAACCCGAATGTTGTTCGGAGTCCCGGATGAGATCCCGGACGTCACGAGGAGTTCCGGAATGGTCCGAAGGTAAAGATTTATATATGGGAAGTCCTGTTTCGGTCATCGGGACAAGTTTCGGAGTCATCGGTATTGTACCGGGACCACCGGAAGGGTCCCGGGGGTCCACCGGGTGGGGCCACCTGTCCCGAGAGGCCACATGGGCTGTAGGGGGTGCGCCTTGGCCTACATGGGCCAAGGGCACCAGCCCCAAGAGGCCCATGCGCCTAGGGTTTCGAGGAGGAAGAGTCCTAGGAGGGGAAGGCACCTCCTAGGTGCCTTGGGGAGGAGGGATTCCTCCCCTTGGCCGCACCACCCTAGGAGATTAGATCTCCTAGGGCCGGCGCCCCCCCTTGGCCCTCCTATATATAGTGGGGAGATGGAGGACTTATTACCAAGATCTTTGGTGCCTCCCTCTCCCTCTCCAACACCTCCTCCTCCTCCATAGTGCTTGGCGAAGCCCTGCCGGAGTACTGCAGCTCCATCACCATCACGCCGTCGTGCTGCTGCTGGAGCCATCTTCCTCAACCTCTCCTTTCCCCTTGCTGGATCAAGAAGAAGGAGACGTCGCTGCTCCGTACGTGTGTTGAACGCAGAGGTGCCGTCCGTTCGGCGCTAAGTCTTCGGTGATTTGGATCACGTCGTGTATGACTTTCTCATCCCCGTTCTTTGAACGCTTCCGCTCGCGATCTACAAGGTACGTAGATGCATCCAATCATTCGTTGCTAGATGAACTCATAGATGGATTTTGGTGAAACTGTAGGAAATTTTTTGTTTTCTGCAACGTTCCCAACAACTCCCTCTGTAAACTTATATAAGAGCGTTTAGATCACTACTTTAGTATTCTAAACGCTTTTATATTAATTTACGGAGGGAGCATATGTTAGTTATTCGTTGATCAATTTGTGAACGCATCAGAGGTTAGATAGCAGTGTAGGGAGTAATTAAACTTGTGGTCAGAGGTTAGATAGATGCTCATTGCTCGTGTTGGTCAATCTGTGCTTTTGCAGGCTTGAGTTGCCACTTATTTTAAGTCCATGCGCGTAGAGGGGGAAACACGCCGCACTAAGCATCTCTCGGTAACTAACTTTGTTCCAAAGCTAACTATCCGATGTCCTCTAATAAGTAGGTAAGAGCAGTTTAGTCCATCTCCATCCATCTCTGGCTATGACTTTTGAAGCATCATGTTTACATGTACGGAAGCATATGCAACCGAGTCAAAATTGTAGTGCTACCTCCCAACAGAATTGTTGTTGGGAGTATGCATTTGAGGCTGGATGCAAAGATAGATATGATCCCGGGGAACGCGGGGACGGTCAATGCCCATCACATACGTACTCTGCTTTGCTTGCTAGGGTTGGGTTGGTGCACCTGCACTGCACTGCACGGGCCAGCTTCATTCATTTTGCTGTCCTCCATTTCTCATCTCACCGGCTCCTTCCTGGAACCTTCGCTCCTCCATGGTCATGCTTCCATTCCATCCCATCCTTTTAAAGAAGAAGAAAAGCAGCGGGGTAATGTTCAACGCAGCATTAGATAGCTACTCTACTCTACTCCAGTGTCAAGTACTTACCAGCCAGAAGCGCAATGGCCGCCACGCCGGAGGAGTTCCTGGGGCAGCAGGGTTTCCTTGCGCGCCTCGAGCCGCCGTCCCCGTCCCTCTTCCTCGACCTGCCGCCCACGCCCCGCGACGACGACGGCCACTCCTCCTTCGACGACATGGTGCTCCCCTACATCTCGCGCCTGCTCATGGAGGAGGGCACGGAGGACCACCTCTTCTACCTCTACCCCAACCACCCCGCCGTCCTGCGCGCGCAGCAGCCCTTCGCGCAGATCCTCGTCGACCTCGCCGACAGCGCCAGCGCCAGCGGCTCCACCTCCTCGCCCTCCTCCTCTTCCGACGCAACTGCCTCCACCACCCCCAGCACCGCAACTGCTTCGGCATCGGCATCGGCATCGCCCGACGACGCACCAGTCCAGATCTCACGGCCGCCCTACACCGACGTCAACGGCCATGCCTCCGCCTCCCCGGACAATCACAGCCCAGGGCTCCTCAACGGCGACGAGATGGCCAAAAGGCCGAGCTCTGACTTGTTCAATCACTTGTTGCCCCGCGACGAGGACATGCTCAACCTGGCCTTCCTCAAAGGCATGGAGGAGGCTAGCAAGTTCTTGCCGCCCGACATCACCCTGTCCATCAACGAGGGGACAGTGGTGGGAGGCGGGAATGCTGTCAGCCTCAACAACAAGAAGAGGGCCGCACTGGCACTGGAGCCGGATGTGGGCAGGCCCAGCAAATTGATGATGCCGGAGCAGGAGGAACGCAAGATGTTTGACGAAATGATGTTCCAGGAACACGAGATATGCATGAAGGGGACTCAGAACCTGACCGCCGCAGTGGACGGCGAGCCCGGGAAGAACAGCCGGAAGAACGGCCGGTCGAGAAAGGCCGTGGATGACAGTGAGATGGTGGACCTGCACACGCTGCTGCTCAACTGCGCTCAGGCGCTGTCCACGGACAACCGCCAGAGCGCCATTGAGCTGCTGAAGCGAATCAGGCAGCATTCGTCCCCGAAGGGGGATGCAGGGCAAAGGCTGGCGCATTATTTCGCCAATGGGCTGGAGGCACGGCTGGCGGGTAGGGGGAGCGAGCTTTACCAGTCACTCCTACTAAGCCGCATCTCGGTAGCCGACTTCCTCAAGGCCAACCAGCTTTACATGGCGGCTTGCTGCTGCAAGAAGGTGGCGTACATCTTCGCCGACAAGACCATCTGCAATGCTGTGGCAGGTAAGAGACGGTTGCACATTGTGGACTATGGTCTGAATCAAGGGCTCCAGTGGCCGGGTTTGCTACGCATGCTCGCGGCTAGAGAAGGCGGGCCGCCGGAGGTGAGGATCACCGGCATTGACCTCCCTCAACCTGGGTTCCACGGAGCCTACCACATCGAGGAGACGGGGCACAGGCTCAGCAACTTCGCCCGCGTGTTCGGCGTGCCGTTTAAGTTCCGTGGTATCCCAGCAAAGCGGGAGACTGTCCGGCCGGAGGACCTGAACATCGACCGGGACGAGGTGCTTGTGGTGATCAGTCTTTGTCACTTCAGGCACCTGATGGACGAAAGCCTCGGCTTTGATGGTCCAAGCCCTAGGGATCAGGTCCTCAACAACATCAGGAAGATGCGTCCAGATGTGTTCATCCATGGCATCATGAATGGCTCATACGGTGCTACATCCTTTCTGACACGGTTCCGCGAGGCACTGTTCCATTACTCGGCCCAGTTCGACCTGCTGGACACAACCGCCCCCCGGGACAACGAAGGGCGTCTGCTGCTCGAGCGCGACATCTTCGGCCGGTCTTGCCTGAATGTCCTAGCATGTGAAGGTGCGGACCGGGTGGAGCGCCCTGAGACGTACAAGCAGTGGCAGCTCCGGAACCACCGGGCTGGGCTGAGGCAGCTGCCGTTGAATCCAGTGGTTGTTAAGCTTGTGCTGGACAAGGTCAAGGACAACTACCACAGGAACTTTGTTGTTGATGCGGATCAGCGGTGGTTGCTACACAGGTGGAAGGGGCGTGTGCTCTACGCCTGGTCATCATGGATTGCAGCTGATGCCACCTAGCTTGTTTTCTCAATCTAATGTCTGATTATAGACATAGATAGATAGATATATCCACGCTTATATAGTGCTGGTACATCTCTTGTACGTACCTGACAAGCAATTCCACATATTACATGCGTTAAATTGTTTGTGTTAAGGATGTGTGGCTTCTAAACTTCAGTTGCTGCTGTATCATCAAATTGATAGATAAGCTTTCCTTGCTTGGGAAGAGTAATATTAGATGCTAGTTGAGCAATAAAGTTGCACTGGTGACTTACATCGTTTGGTTCGTGCATCTTTTGCTGCCTGTGTTTTTTTTTTGTGTGTGTGTGTGGACGATTGAAGATGTTTCCACAAGTTTCAGTTTCTTGCTAGATACTGTCTACGTCATATGAAGCTGACACTGAAGGTGTCCATTGAAGAAATCCAAGATCATATAATTTCATGCCAGTTCAAACACATAAAATAAATAGTTACCGACGGTGATAAGTGGAAAGAATTCCATGAGTTCAAAAAAGAGAGAAAAAACAAAACTGGGAGGAAGTCAAAAAATTCAGATCTGTTATACGTTAGTTAACCGTTAGTCAATTGCTGAATGTATAGCATGAAGTTCAGTTTCGAAAGCCAGCACTGTACAGAGAATTAAAGTTGTGGTCAGAGGTCCGATAGATGCTTATTGCGTGGCTTTAGTTATTTATGTGCTTGCAAGTTGCAAGTTTGATTCGCCACTTATTTAAGCCCATGTTTTGTATATTTCGAAGGGGAAAAGCCTCATATTTTTTTTTGTTGAACATGTGTACATGTACGTAGTATTAGAGTATAAGACTATTCGTATTGTAATCTATCTCTATTAGTCTAGTCTTGAAGCCCAAACTTTGTAATCTATATAAACAGCCCTTGAGGCCCCAAATCAATACAACAATTATTCTCCAATATCTCAAACTATCATGGTATCCGACGCCTAGGTTTTCCGCACCTGGTATGGCACCGCCACCCGCGCCGCCGCCCCGGCCGACTCAGCCCCTCTTCTCCATGGCCGAGTTCCGCCGCCGGTGCCCCGTCCTCTACCTCCTCCTCTACAACTACCCAAACACCTCCCCCTCCAAACCCAATGTTCTCCCTAGCCGACACCCTTGCCGATGTCTCTCCCTTCATACCGATCTCATTAGACCTCGGCATCCACAACTACTACCATTGGCGCCATCTCTTCATCATCCATCTCGGGCGCTGCGGCCTACGTCACCATATTGATCCCTCCTACCCGCCACAGCCCGCTGATCCTCGCTGGGTGAAAGATGATCTCGCCATCATCTAGTGGATTTACACACGCATCTCCACGGAGCTTTTCAATCTGGTCTCCGACGATGACGCCACCGCCGCCGATCTCTGGGCTTCCCTTCAACAGCTGTTTTAGGACAACTCCGACGCGCGAATCAACGCGCTCAACACTGAGCTACGCACAACCATGCAGGGAGATGTCCCAGTCTCCATCTTCTGCCAGCGAATCAAGGCTATCGGCGATGAACTCTGTGAACTTGGCGATCACGTTGAGGATCGTACTCTCATCAACGCCCTCCTCCAAGGTCTCGGCGATCAATTCGAGAAGCAGCAGTCCTTCATCCCCATGCTCAAGCCATACCCCACCTTCAAGGAGGTCCGCTCGATCCTCCAGCAAGAAGAGAAGAACCAGGCTCGCAAGGCGCAACGGGCGCCGCAGGTGTTTCATGCTGCCGCATCCTCTTCTGCAGCTCCCACGCCTGGGCTGCCATGGCAACCGGCCGCCCCTCCAACTCCTGCTGTGGCCGCCACGGCCTCAACACCACCACCAGGCTGGCGCCCGAGCCCCAACTACAAGGGCAAGAATCCAATCTACCGGCCTCCTACATCTCGTCCTGCCGGACCTGCACCAGCCTCGTCATCCACCGCTCCAGCGCCACCAGCTCCGTCGCCATGGCCTCCTCAGCATGATCCTTGGACTGGTCTCGTACAGGCTTGGTCGATGCCATGGTCGGCCCCTTCGCCGTATGGTGCCCCTCCTGCGTACACGAGCACGTGGAGCCTCGGTCTTCGTCCAGCCACCGGCTCTCTGGGACTCCTTGGACCCAGGCTACCGGCGCACGTCTACACCGCCACTCCTACTCCGCTTCCCAGCACACCAGGACCGCCGTCGCCCTACAACACCATGCCGGCCTCCTACAACATGCAAGCCCCGTACGCATACTACCCATCCGCTATCCCCTACGTCAACATGCAAGCTCCTGGCCCCTCTGCTCCTCCCCAACAGCCGGCTTGGGACCAAGCCGCCTTCATCAACGCCATGAACAATTTTGTCCTCAACGACGCAGGTACGGATTGGATTTTCGATTCTGGTGCATCCATGCATATGTCTTCAAATATGAATTTATTGCCAGCTTGTTTTTCTTCTGCTTTTTCCACGATCACCATTGGCGATGGCTCCACCATCCCTGTTTCATGCACCGGTCACTCTTACATCCCTTCCTCTCATGCCAATTTTCTTCTACGCAATATTCTTGTTGTTCCTTCCATCATCAAAAATCTTATTTCTGTTAGACAATTTTGCATTGACAACAAAGTTATCCTGGCCTTTGACCCTCTTGGTTTGTCTGTGAAGGATCTGACAACGGGTGCGGTCCTCGCTCGGTACAATAGCACGGGCGATCTTTATCCTCTTCATGGCACGCCCACATCCACCCCTCGTGCCATGCTCACATCAGTTGATCTATGGCATCGTCGTCTCGGTCACCCCAGCAAAAACACTTTGACGTCTTTACTCCAAGAATTTTGTATCCCTAGTTCTAGCAGTCCTCATAATCCCTCTCTCTTTAATGCATGTCAATGCGGCAAACATGTTAGATTACCTTTTGGAACCTCTACTACCATTAGTACTTTTCCTTTTGAGTTACTTCACTGTGATTTATGAACCTCTCCAGTCCCTAGTGTTTCTGGTTATAAATATTATCTTGTGATCTTGGATGATTATTCTCACTATACTTGGACTTTTCCTCTTCGCGCTAAATCTGAAGTACCTGCAATTTTTCTCAACTTTCGACAATATGTAATCACACACTTTGGCTTGCCAATTCGATTTATTCAATGTGATAACGGTCGTGAATTTGATAACACCCAAAACCGCACCTTCTTTCTCTCTCAAGGCATTCTTCTTCGTTTTTCATGCCCTTATACATCTTCTCAAAATGGTAAAGCTGAACGCTGTCTTCGCTCTATTAATGATGTTCTTCGCACCTTGCTTTTACAAGCTTCTCTTCCTTCCCGTTTTTGGGTTGAAGCCCTTCGCACCGCCACACTACTTCTTAATATTCGACCAACTAAAACTTGCCCTCTTTATTCGCCTTTCCAATCTCTTTTTCTCTCCCACCCTGACTATTCTTTTCTGCGTGTTTTTGGCTGTCTATGCTTTCCCAACATCGCCTCTACCGCCTCCAACAAACTAGAACCACGCTCACTACCTTGCATTCACCTTGGTCTTTCTGATGATCACAAAGGATATCGTTGCTTTGATCCATCTTCTGGTCGTATCATTCTCTCTCGTCATGTCACATTCGATGAAAATACTTTTCTTTTTTCTGTCACTACAACCACAACACCAACTCCACCACAATCCGCCACCACCAAAACCTCTTCCCTAGTTCATCCTTCGGTCATCTCTGCTGCCATGGAATCTTGCTCCGTTTCTCAGCCGGAGCTGCCTACCGTCAGCCACCCTCGTGCCCCGTCCCCCACCTCTCCCGCGACTGCATCCTCTACCCCAACCGTCTTGCCCTCACCACATCCTACCACGGCAACCACCTCGACACCCACCACCTCTGATTCTTCTCCCTCACCGTCTTCTTCATCCGAAAACCCACTACCACCCAATGTCGTTCTTATACCACCGCCCACCAATGATCATGTCATGTGCACCCGTGGAAAACGAGGATTTCTTCTCCCCACAAAACGTCTCAATCTTACCGCCACCCCAACCATCTCTCCTATTCCTACCAGTTATAAGCGAGCTCTTCTTGATCCTCTCTGGCTTTCCGCTATGCGCGATGAATTTGAAGCTCTTCAGCAAAATAATACATGGACTCTTGTTCCCAAACCTCCTGGTGTTAACATTGTTTCTGGCAAATGGGTTTTTCGTCATAAATTTCATTCCGATGGCACTCTCGCTCGTTACAAAGCTCGTTGGGTGTATCGTGGTTTCTCCCAGCAGCCTGGTATTGACTTTGATGAGACTTTTTCTCCCGTTGTTAAACCAAGCACTATTCGTGTTGTTCTTAGTCTTGCTGTTTCCTCTTCTTGGCCTATTCATCAACTTGATGTTAAAAATGCTTTTCTTCATGGCACTCTCAATGAAACTGTTTATTGTCAGCAACCCTCTGGTTTTGAGAATCCCTCCTCTCCAAATTTTGTTTGTCTGCTCAACAAATCTCTTTATGGCCTTAAACAAGCCCCTCGTGCATGGTTTCAATCCTTTGCTACTTTTATTCAAACCATAGGCTTTATTCCCTCCAAATCTGATTCTTTACTTTTTGTTTATCAGTCTCCTACTCACACTGCCTACCTCTTGCTCTATGTTGATGATATCATTCTCACGGCTAGTTCTGATTCTCTTCTTCAACATATCATCTCTTCTCTCAATCATGAGTTTTCCATGACTGATCTTGGTCCTCTTCATCATTTTCTAGGTATTAATGTTTCTCGCACAAAGTCTTCACTCTTTCTTTCTCAACGGTCATACATTTTGGACTTGCTTTCTCGTTCTGGTATGTCTGATTGTCAACCCTCTCGTACTCCAGTCGACATTGGTGCTAAACTGTCGGCTGATGGTGATCCTCTTTCTGATCACACTTTCTATTGTAGCATCACCGGCGCTCTTCAATATGCCACTCTTACTCGTCCTGACATCTCCTATCCCGTTTAGCAAGCCTGTCTCTTTATGCATGACCCTCGTGCTCCTCATCTGGCTCATGTCAGACGCATTCTCCGCTATTTAAAAG